TTGCTCTGTTAATTGGAAATTGATGTAGTTATAGTGAATAAGTATTTTGTATAGAAGTCAAATTACTTCTTTGTTGACATATTTGCTACCTTTTCAATACATTAGATACATTATGTTCTGCATGTCCAGCGCTAAAAAAACAACTCTTCAGTTGTTAAAACAATTCTAACATGCTCTTAATCCATTATAAAAACATGCGTTTGACATTTCTAACAATTAAGAAAATGTATGGATTTCTGAGGCATAATGTGCCTTTAAATGTCAAGATTAATTAATCATGAATTCTAAACTCTAGCTCTGCATCTTACCAGTTCAGTTCAGTTACTTTAAGATAAACTGCACTTTCATTTTTTTTCACATTTACCTGGATTACTTTACACTTTAATGGCTTGCTAAAGAGTTTGCTAAAATGTTATTTACCATATTTGGGTAAAAGTATCTATTACATGTCAAAAGTTCAAATAGTGACCATCTCCCCAACGAAATGTTTATTTGACCTTCACAAAATCTTGTGAAATCTCGGTCCCCCTAGGGTATTTTGATTGCTGTCTGTCAGCTAAAATAACTGTGTGGGAATCTTGTGTCTCATTTCAATACATTAGGGTTGATTTCGATACATTTGGGTTGATTTCATCAATTTGGGTTATTAAAGCATCTATAAAATGGCCGTAAACAACCAGATGCTGAATAGGGTATGATGAAGACCGGGGTTATCAAAATTTAATTAAATTGGCTTTTTAGACCAGTAAATAGTTTAGCTTCCTCAGTATGCATTGAACGCGGACAATATTGTGGTGTGGAGACGGGTGACCACCCATAAACTGTAAATTGGTTGGCTGTTTACTGTGGCTGTATCCAGACAACATCTGAATGTGCCGTCTGCTTTTTGTAAACAATCCTCACATTGTAATATTCTTGTGACTCAAATACAAAGGAAACATTTCAAAATTTAATATGAATATTTTAATAGATATTATCATGTTGTTTTTTTTAATGAAAAAGTAACATTATGACTCACAGCTAAAATACCATTAGCAAATATTTTCTAATATATTTATAGTTACTAGCATAACACCTTTATTTTAATAGGAAAAGTCTCTTTTTTCGGTCAATATCACCTTTGTTATCGCAGCCTTCCTGCCATCAATAATGAAACACTGAGTTACAAAAGCTAAACACTCTGTTTCTTGATGGACTCACAGTGGTTTTCCTCCAAATATAACAGAGGCCTTCATTTTAAAAGGCCTCTTCCCATATTAAATTTTCTTTAAATTCATGCAGTTTTCCAAAAATCTGAAATTACCCCAGCCTTTTTACTTCCCAAATTATCAATATTAGCAATAATATTTCCCAAAATCAAGATGCTAATATACATACAATTCAATGTTTGTCACTCTTTTTGATTCTTCTTGAGAAAAAAGTTTAATTTTCCAGACTTAATGAACTTTTGAATAAAGTAGGTTCTTAAAAATAATAAAAAATAAAACCCACAAAAAATGTAACCCTAAACTAGTGTTTCTTGAATTATAAACCCATTAGAAAGGAAATTAATGCCAGAATTATGTAATGCAAGAAAGCTGATTTGCCAGTGGTGGGGTTAATGGCAGTTAGTCATGGAAGAATAGAGAATTGGCTGCTCTGTATTCTTAACAAATAGTGTATTGAATTTAGAAGTGTTAAAAATGAGATGAAATTTAATGTTTATTTGTAGTAAATATCTTCTGATATGCATATTAACACTATCTGACTATTATATCAAAGATAAAATCTTGATGGTATTTTAGTAAAGCACTCAAGTTGATCAGGGTATATTTGTATATCACAGGTAACCATGGAAACCAAAATAAATGACAAAGTGTTCATGTATTATACTGTAATATAGAAAATTTTCCAGTCAGTGTTAGTGATATTTGTAACAAAATATTATATCTGATTAATATAGCAGTGTGAACATAGTCAATAGACTGTATATCAGAAAATCTGTGATTTTGATATTTGGCAGAAAGTTCATTAATAGACCAAAAGGTCATTGAATAAAAAGCATCACAATTTTGTAAGCCATGTTGATGATGATTTAGGTAAAGTACATTTAGCTTGCAAGTCACAATAGATGTGGTGTTAGACTAACAGTTAACCAATTGCTTCCCGTATACAAAATAGTTTTCTTATATTCTTTTAAGGCGAAAAGAAATTCTGCATGATTGAAATGTGACAGGGTGAAAAAAATGTGCAGCCTGATCGGAACGTGAATGCTGTTCTGCGGCTCGATCGACTTTCAAACAATCTCGCCGCTTTCGCATCTTGACCTCCCTAAAATAGTAAACAGTTCCTAACAGTTACAAAAATGCTGTGAACATTCAAGAATTTAATTTATTCAATTTGTGTATTTTAAGGGGGAAATTACTTAAATTCATTAATTATGTATTACATAATTATGTGTATCAAAATTGATATCTGCGTTTCAGTATATTCTTTTACTAAAGAAAAATTATCATTTCCCTTAAATTAGACTCTTGAGATATTTTTATGTGAAATTTTTAATTTCTCTATGAAGTATAAACTTAACCAACTGATTATCACTTGAAAATTTTAATTTGCTATTTTGCTATTTTTAGAATGACAATTATTTTTTGGTATATTAAAGGACTTTACTTTAAAAGCTAGCTTGTTTGGGGGATGAAATTGTTTTGTGTATTATATTTCAACAAACAAAACATTGTAAATCATCATTCAGTTTTATTATCAATCGTTTCATCTCTCATATCCATAATCATTGTGTTTTTTTCTTTGGCCATGGCTCATATTTCTTTCTTTTGGATATATTTCAGTCTTTGGGTTCATTATATTAATTGTCACTCAGAAGCTTGTTTTATTCATTTGTTGTCATATGCCTTGTCAACACCTCTCCACCTGAGTGATCCAGATCAGATCAGAACTGATATACCTATACCAGTCTACAAGTATGGAACTGAATATGGCACCTTTTGTTTAAAATTATCATAAATTCTATCAGGGTTAAATTATTGATGGCTTAAATGAATTTTCATTCATACTGTAGTGTTACGCTTACAAATATTTTAGTTTGTTTGTAACAGGCATTATTGCTTTACTATGATTCTTTATAGTTTTATTTTTTTTCAAAAGCAGCATTATAATGTATTTTCAATCAATTTAGATAAGTTGGAATGTAGGAAGAAATTCAAGAAAAAATAATCTTTATAATTATACTGAACTGTTTGTAATATAAGTCAAACTGCAATAATTTCTTATTATAAACTTCTAGAAAAGTGCTCAACTTTCTTGTTGCACTCAGACCCAAGGCTCGTGATGAGACCATACTTTAATGCATTTTGTTTTTCAAAATACATTATATAGCAGCAATTATGACCCTGAGGTCCAAACTCAAAGTAGGACATCTTAGTGTTTAAGAGTCTGTAATACAAATTTAGCAATTGGTAAAGGTTTAAAAATCATTGATGTTCACCTCTTAATATGACAGGACCAGGAGAGAAACTATAACAATCAGCTTAGCCTAGGTATTTCAATTGTCTTAAGAACACTTAGAAAAGATTTTCTCACCTAAATCCTTCTTGAAGGAGATGAAACAAAAAATACAAAGCTTTCGTTTTGTATCATTACCAGGCTGTTTGATGTTGTCTGATTCGGTGAGAGAGAAAAAAGAAATTAATAAGACTATAGAGCTGTAAGAGCTGTAAAAAAATAATAACAGTGTATGCTTAATATCGATAGATTTCTACAGTAACAGTATATGAAAAATGCTTATATATTGGGCAATATGAGTAAAACCTTTTCTATTAATGATATTTGTCACTTTGAATGTTAACTGCGTTAATTAATATTAAAATGACATTTTTGCCAGTGGCACCATGCAGTATATAGTTTTCTGAATATGCACTTAGCGCTACTAGCTCTGACTATTTCTATTACCTATATACTCAATTTTAGTATTTTGAAATTGTAAACACCCTACATGCAATTACAATAGATTCTACCACAGTACCAAATTCTAAGGAGTGGGTAATCTCCATTACCGGTATTTAATTTAGAGGAAAAAAAATACTGTCAGCCATATAGTAAAATACATGATATACTTCCATCCAAGACCCACATAGACCAATTTTCTAACTTCTCATTTCATTAATTTTTATTAAAAAACACCTTTTATTATTGTCAAATTATTAGGCATTATTAACTATCAAGGACAGGCTTCAACTTTCAGGGGCAGTCACCTTTGTAGACATTATTGTTCCACCGTATTGACGATAATTTGTCTTTTGTCATCTCTCGATGTATTTCATCATTTTACAGCTCCAGATAAATGTGATACATTTAAATTTCAAATTATTGGATGTTTTCTGTATATTAGTGTCTTCAATTGATTATATTTCAAAATGCCTGGAATGTCTGCCGCTCATATCCTTAATTGATCATAACATTACTGTCTCCGTGGTGAGAAATTTCTGACAGTCTGATTCATGAATCGGTTAGTTGTTGTCAATATTTTGAATGAGAGTGAGATAAAGCATCAGATCAGATGAAAGAATGATTGTTTAGTAACAATTGTTACATTAATTGTATTGTAGTCAACATAAGTGAATTAGTATATACTGATAAAGGAAAGTCAGAGAGCATCCTGTGAAAGAGACCCTTACATTGGTCAGTTTTTTTAATATTTCTTAAGAACTGACTAATCAGATGCAAGAATTTCCGGCTATGTTTAGAGTTTGAAAATTTGAAATTATGAATGAATGTTGTGTCAATATTTTATTTAGATGTAGGTGACTCAGTACCATTGTGCGTTAATAAGTCATATTACATAATAAATGGGGCCTCTATAACTAAATGAAGGGGCCTGTCTGATTGAAAAATGTTGACTAAATATACCAACATTTCAAATGTTCTGATTATCATATAGATTCTTTGTAAATTAATTTTTCATAAAATTAGGAAAGTAAAGTAATTTTATTGTGTATTTTCAGAATTGCCTGGAGATGGAACGGTACCTGAAAAACGAGCCAAAACTTACATCTTTCAAAAAACTCAAGGATGCAAAATTAGAACCCAGGCAGGCATGGGTAGACTCAAATCCGCCTACTCCGTGTTCATCAGTGGATCAGGAAAATTCAGAAAACTTGACAGGATTAAATGATGATAATGACGATTTATTAATTCCAGAACCGCTCCTCAGTGATGGAGAGGAGGATGATGATGATCTAGCTGAAACCGAATCAGTTGATCGTCTTGCAGAGTTAGCGCACCTGAATCTAAATGATAGAACTGCAGATAATCTTAGTTTAAATAGCTTTAGTTCCTCAAGTAGTGGCGTTTCATGGGATTCAAACATGTCAGACCCTCCTCTTTCACCAATTCAGCCGAAATCCAACGATCCATTTGCGTTACGACTTGTAGCGGGACCAGGTCGTACACACATGGTTCAAATGCGTGTTCATTCAGCCGACGTTTTACATAAGCAACAGCGTCTGCTTGTACCAGGACATAGTGCTAATCGTTCACGACCTTACACCACTCAAAATGTAGGTCAAGGACAAATCCAAGGTCAAACATTGACACAAAGACCCCCTTTGCCAAGTTCAGTTCGCCAGTGTGATATGAGTCCAGATTCAAAAAGGAGAAACCACAAGTGTCCATATAATGGATGTAAAAAAGTGTATACAAAAAGTTCTCATCTCAAAGCACATCTGCGAACACATACAGGTAGGTCATTTATTTTTTTATTTATTGAAAATCATGAAAAGAAGCTGCTCTATGCCTGAGAAAATAGTTATACACATTGATGAATAGGAATCAAACTCGGTCAGTAAAAATGTCTTAGTCAACATATGACCATAATAGTTTTACTTGTAGACTTCAGGAGCCAATCATTCTGTGTATTATTATGTAAGGCATGTGCAGTCTTTTTAAGTAAAATCACCAATCTGTTCTAAGTCTGCATTCCCCTGTGGTCTTAATAACATATTGCTTTATTGTCTACTGTTAGGCGGTCTTGAAATTGTATCGTAAGAGTCGTAAAGCACAGCTAATTTGCAGTTTTGAACTTGTAATGGTTATTCAACTAAGCATATAGCATGTTGCACTGTAATTAAGAGACAGTTTCGCATGTAATTAATGGGAAAATGAGTGCTCGTTGAATTTAGCAAGATTGCCATCGTATTTCTGTAACTTTAAACTTCATTATGTCAAAGCCTTACCTAATTCAGATGTCAAGGCAGAAATTTTTTTAATTACTGGTCTACCGTATAAAGTATCAATTTGCGATTATATGATGAAGTGGAAATTTGACGATGTTCATGTGTCATTAAAAACGAGGTATTTTCACTTTGAAATTTATGTGATAAATCATAGATTTATGATAAATTACAAAGCTTACTTTACATCTTTAGAAATCATGGGTTGAAATCTGAAATCCAGCTTGTTTTACCTTCGTTTTGAAGAGTATTTATTTTTCGTAGGAGTCGTTTTAACAATTTTTTTGGTGTTAGAGGAGATGACTTTGATTATGTTGCGAGTGAATTTTGTTAAGAAGGGGATTTAATAAGCTAATATTACAATATAACCTAGAAACTCTTTGAACCAAAATATGATTCAACATAAATTAGAAATTTAAAAAGAACTTTTTTTCATGTGAAATGGGAGAGTGGGGGTGGTATTTGAGATATATTTTTGGTTAATTTGCATGATAAAGGATATATATTTCAAAATTTTGAATCCCATCATAAGCAAAATTCAGGGCATGATGGAAAGTGAATAATTATACTATGCTATTTAAATTGAAAGTCAAATGAGCATCGACTTTGTTAATTTTGAATATACCTTTAAAACAAGCTGAAGCAATGTTATGATAGACAGTAATTGGGGGGGGGGGGGAGAGTTAAATTTTAATGTTCTGAAAGGGAAGGAAGGTGTCAAATTTGAGCACCTAGGTTCAGCATATGTTGAAAAAGACATACACAATAAAGCCAAGATATCCCTCGTCCAATCAATTGATAGGCAAATGAATTAAGTGATACTTAAAAATGTACAAACTTTTAATGATTGACCACTACAGTTTATGGACACTGCATAATATTTTAATGATTTGTGTGCTAGTTTGTCATGTTTTTTTGTCTCAGTAAGTGAAATTAATTTACAAAGATGTATGATTTTCTTTTTTTCAAAGGTAAGTAACTCAATTATGAAGATCAATTATGTAGTAACAGGGTTGTCTCCCTTGTGTTTCTTAAAACGTTTGCACAGATAATTATGTTCCATTTCTATTACGCTAGTACATTGTGTAATTAAATTAGATTGTTTGCATGGATGTCAAAATTACTTTTTAGCTCGACTATTCGATAAGAATAAGTAGAGCTATTGCAGTCACCCGAGCGTCGGCGTCCGCGTCGGCGTAACCACTTATGTTAAAGTTTTTGTAATAGTTCAAATATTTTCAAAGTCCATAGACATATGGCTTTGAAACTTTGCACACTTGTTCACCATCATGACCCCAACCTGTAGACAGGAGGAGGTAACTCTATCAAGCATTTTGACAGAATTATGCCCCTTTTTCGACTTAGAATTTACGTTAAAGTTTTTGTAATAGTTCAAATATTTTCAAAGTCCATTGACATATGGCTTTGAAACTTTGCACACTTGTTCACCATCATGACCCCAACCTGTAGACAAGAGGAGGTAACTCTATCAAGCATTTTGACAGAATTATGCCCCTTTTTCGACTGTTCTATTTTTAGCTCGACTATTCGATAAGAATAAGTAGAGCTATTGCAGTCACCGAGCGTCCGCGTCGGCGTAACCACTTATGTTAAAGTTTTTGTAATAGTTCAAATATTTTCAAAGTCCATTGACATATGGCTTTGAAACTTTGCACACTTGTTCACCATCATGACCCCAACCTGTAAACAGGAGGAGGTAACTGTGTCAAGCATTTTTTTTACTATCAAGCACTAAGAATAGTCGAGCGTTGCTGTCCTACCGACAGCTCTTGTTTAAAATTAACATTATCATTTATAATTATGATCTCAGTTCCCTTGTTTAAACTTGTTTATAGCGCAGTTAGTTAATTCATCATATTTTATATCTGTGTTTTTCAGGTGAAAAACCATATTGTTGTAGCTGGGAAGGTTGTGAGTGGAGGTTTGCAAGATCAGACGAGCTTACACGTCACTACAGAAAACACACAGGGGCCAAACCATTCCGCTGTCGATTTTGTGACCGGTCGTTTAGCCGGAGTGATCATTTAGCTCTTCACCTCAAAAGACACGCAACATCAGACTTGTAATGTGATCTTAATTAGGACTCCTTTTTTAAATTGTTCATACATTTCCATTAAAAAAGTTTCATGGAAACTGTGTAATCAAAAACTGACATGTTTTCTGATGAAATGAAGTGACGAAAATCTTATAATGTCCACGGATGTTCATGATTATTGTTATTTTCTTTCGAGGTTGACTTCATCAGTCGTAAACTGTTGTCTCCTACAAGACTATTGCACTAATGTTTATTACACGCGTTACATATAATATAATTCATATGGTAACGTGTATTCAAAACTGTAATGTGATATACTGTATGTGACTCAAAACCTAATCAGGGCCATCACATGACCCTTTAACCTCAGCACATATGTGTCTCGTCTTGTTTTGCGATGCACCGACTTAAGGCTTTACGATTAATGTTCAGTAAAACAATCAAGCACTATGGTGAGCGTGCATGTTCGTTTGTGAGCTTTGACTTCATTTAATGCCAGTAACGGAAAGAAGTGTCAGTAATTAGTATCCGTTATTAGTAGCGGATAATTTTAGTGGCGTGTGCATTATATACGGATCGTGTGATATGGAACGATTATTATTTTCATGATTATTATCTCTTTATTATTTGCTATGCGTTATTAAATTAAGCAAAAAAAAACTTTATTTAAATTCCAACCAAAGCATTTGTGATAGAAGGACTTGAACCATTGCAAAGGTGGCTCCGAAAATAAATGTCAAGAAAAACCGTCTGCAGTGATGTGACAACTTCTTCAACCCCGAAGTGTGAAACAGCAACTTCCTTACAAAGAGATACACCAAACATTCTAAGATTCAAGATTCATGAAAATACAATATAGAAAAAACATCTTTATAGAATATTCCTTGTTTTAGAAATGCTGTTACAGAAATTTCTTATATTTTTTCATCATTTTTAATACACACTTTAAAAGGAAATGAAATTGAATTACATTTATGAATTTATAATATTTTTTCTTAATATTAATTTTGTTTAAATGAACAAAATAACAAATGTCATTGCATGTAATGAAACAAAGTTTATCTGCTTTTCTACTTCTATTATAGTTTATTTACTTTCTAAAATTACCTATATTATATATTTTATAAAAGGACTGGTTCCTTACTATTATTGGGCAGTTGATGCAATTATATGCAAAATTTTGGAAGGAAAAGATCTGAACAGGTTTTGTAAGACATGATTTGATTGGTTAATCACATGTTGATTATGAATCCATGCAACTTTTGTATTTATTGAACTATCATGGAAACCACTATGCTGTATTGTTAAAACAGATGGTTCCCATTTCTAATTGACACTGCAATGTCTTGATAAAACTTTAAATGCTGGAAACAAGTGGACTGGTTCTAAATTTAGTTTTTTACCATGTATAAAGTCTACATTGTATACTGAAAAAAATGAGAACCAGTTCACAGCAATAGCATAATGAATGGTCCCCAATTCATAAGATGTAATACCAGGAACCAGTGAATGGCATAATCTTTTTTGAACCTCTTAAATTTACAGGCTTGCATTACAAAATGTTTTTTATATACAACTTTTTGCTAAAACTATTACATCAATTTACAAATGAAAGAAAAAAGCATAGACATGTAAGAGATTGTAACAGAGGTCAAGGTCGAAGTCAAGGTCATACAGTCCGAAGTCAAGGTCATACAGATAATCATGTAGAAAAATTGTTCCGAATGACATTTCTGTCTCGTATTCTCTTTTTTTCATGTTTATTTGCTTCTTACTTACTCTCAAATATGTTTCCATAGTAACCAACACAAGATTTTTTTTTAGATTGTGAAATTCAACTATAATTTTTGTATTTATTTGAATGTATAAATTTGCTTGCTTGTTTAAAAACGTTTATAATTTTAAAAAAAATAAGTTTATTACTTTTAGTTGATAATGAAATTTGCTAATTTATTCAGACATATTTCAAATGATAAAATTTTGTCAATTTTTGTTTTTTTATCAAGAATGATTGAGATTTTAAAAAAAAACAACAAAAAACAAAAAAACTTTCTTTTCTTTTTAATCTTACTTGGACATATATTTGAAAGTAAGGTCTTGAAAAGGCTTTTTGCTTATTTCTACATTTATAACCTTTTTTATTTCATTAAATTTTCTTCATAAAATTTATGTATTATATTACTTGGGGTAAAATACAGTAACCATTAACCATTATGCTACAAATGTACTCGTCGTCTAAAACCAATACTTGCACAAGTTATCAAAATATGGCACATAATTATACATGTAGTATATACCATGTATTGAAATTCATTATCTATATATATATTATACAATCTTTATTTTAAAAAAAAGGTTTTGAATATAAACTGTAAACTGTTTTCGGTTAGATATTTGAAAACTTAACTGGCAATTCTGAGATTCGAAATTTCAAATTGTCCGGGTTTTTTTTTTTTATATCCGTATATTAATCCTATAATACAAGGTGTAATTCTAGCTGGTCATGTTAACTTTTCTTTTCATTTTGTTGTACTTTTCATTATTATTTGTTTCTATGACGACAAATTTAGATATTATGTAATGTCTGTGATAAATTTTGTATAGAAGTGTTATTCTTTTGTTTTTTTGCAAATTATATAATAAACAAAAACACCTTACTTGTGCATGTTCTGTGAATGCATGCTATTCTGATATCTTATTTCTAAGCTTTTTCTCTAGTATGAAATATGTTTTTTGAAGATTATATTACCTTGGTGGTAACTAGCTGATTTTTAAGACCTAAGTACATTTATTTACATGAAAGCCGAAAGCACTAGATTTTTGCTGACTAAATTCACTTGATTTGACAATTATGAAATAAAATAGTTGTCTGTTACTAGGAAATTCTTTTTTCCTTTCCGGTTTGTAGTTTTAATAATTCTTTAACATTCTGTAGAAGGTAACAAAATGTACTTACCAGCACACATATTCAGTGCAAGTTTCAATTGTATTTCGAATTTTAACAGAGTTATTGACCCTTTTAAAAAAAGACAAGTACAAAAAAGGTGGGCGATCTGAGTTTGATTCCCGGATGGTGCAGGTGACTGGTTATATTACTAAAGATGTCATTTTGTTTTTGCAAAGTCATTTAATTTTATCTATATTTAATTCGCTGTAACATTCCTTTTTTTGTATTTCGTATGTTTTAGCACTCGGAACTGCCGTAACTGTTATTTTTTTTCTGACTTTTCAAGAAAGCTGTCTGTCTTGTTTTTTTTTCTCTATGTTAGTTTTTTGTTTTTGTTTATAAGACAAAGTAGTTCACTGAAATTACTGATAGAAGTGGCGTTCATTCAATAACCATAACAACAACAACAACAAATCATACATACATGTACATCTTTTAACCTGGTTGTTTGTGAAAGTAAAATTTGTAATTCATTTTTTACTAAACATTGTTCTAAAGATTGTATTCCCCCTATTTTCTGAAATCAAATACAATTTACTATGTTGTTAACAGCATAAAAAGTTTAAGTCATGACTTGCCATTATTCGAAGTAGTAAAAAGGGGGGATAATTTAAAAGTTATTTCCCTTTAAGAATTTTTAATTCAATTTAGCACTAAATGCAAGTGACTTCTACAAGTTATATATATCTTGACTTGTGCAACATAACATCCCTTTGACTCTTGGTATCGTATTTTGAGCCTAATATAAACTCGCAAAACTTTTGCTGTTCTACATTAGATTATTATGCGTTTTGATATTTTGCCATTCTAATTTTTGTAAGTTTTTTTTCCCCTGTGTTATACCTAGTTCATCTGCTGACATTTTCCGTGCCTTTGTCCATGCTTTTACATACTGAACACCTTGAATCCTGACAATGACAATTTGTTTGTGTTAATTGGAATTGTTTTGATATTTCCTAATTTATATGATATATTTTATAAATATTATAATATACGTACCAACAGGCCTGTATGCAGTAAAATTGTTTAACATTTCGATGAAAACTGATTTGATTTTCGAAAAATGAGTTTTACATATAAGTTAGGCAACATATTCAGCCGTCTGTCTATAAGGGCTTATCTGTTATTGAGGTACAACAAGCTGAAAATATGCAATTTTAAAATGGCGTCCGCTTTTCTTCTATTTAAAATCAAAGGAAGGAAATTACCTGCCATGTTTTGCACATTGTCCTAAGATAAAAGTGAAATGAAGTTTTTTTTTGCAGTCTGTTCCAGCACAGTAACAATTATATAAAAAAACTAGTTTGGTAAACATGTGCACACAGTTATGTTACAACGCTCCAGAACATTTTAACTAAAGAAATCTGATGATTATTTCACAGTGTATTTCCATTGTCATTTGCATAATATTGCTTGCCAGGAAATATAACTTTGCCAAATAAGACCTTGGCATTGAAAGTTAACTCCTTAAGCACTTCACATGCTCTCTTGTTGATGATCACATGTTGAAGGTCTTTTTCCCCCTTTCATATGGTTAATTGTTTTGTAAGAAAATTCACTGAGTAAGAACAGGTTACTCCCTACAAAAACAAAATCACCAATCTTGCCATGTCGTCACCTTATTGCAAGAACTCAATAACTGCTATTAAATATAGAAGCACTTATTACGTTATTGCACTAAGGTGACGATGTAAGATTTTAAACCTCCACAAAATATTGCATGTCAAAAATCTACATTTTGTTAAAATTTCCGTGCAGTTTTTTTATTATGTAAGTATTAAAAAGCCATTGTCAACCTCATAATTTTACGGGGAAAAAAAATACCAATTCAAATTAAATCTAGTGCTATTTTTAGCTTGCAAAAAGTGTCATGTGGTCATCCCCTACCAATGAGTGCCTTTAAAAATCAGAGCACCTCATTAAATATTGTACTAAACCATCCTTGAAGTGTGTGTCTATTTCTACACATTTGATGCTAACTTGTTTGCCCTACTTTCCTCATTTTATTCGAGTCGGATCAAAATTGGGCTATATATAGATACAGTTCATGTACATTTAGTTCCATGCAACCTTCAGTTTGAATATCATTTTAGGCATCTATGACCTTGGTATTGTGATATTTTTATATAAAAAATATTGTCAAAACCTAAAAGTGAGTATTGTTTGGTCAATTTTTTTATGTTTATATTTATTACTTACATTAAATTTCGTAAAAATGAATTTGTTGTGTATTTTAAGGACTTTCCAATGAATTTTGTTCATAAAAAGTTAAGATTTTTTTTTTCTTAAGTTTAATATATTAAAAAAAAACTTTTGTTTATAAAAAAACCTTTTTGGATTGTCTTGCAGATGAGCTGAAAGGGAGAATGTGCAATGTTGATTATGTTCAAATTATACATGTATATTTACTGAAATGCAAAGATTTATATGTGCGTGTTAAATTTCCGGTAAAATGGTTGCACCGACTTTTCCAAAGCAGGGCCGGCAAAATCTGATTTTTACTTTCTTGTCCGTTTTCATTTGAAGCATTTCTTAGCATGTCCGTAATATTTCTAAGGTTGATTCTTGAAAATTTCCACTTGTCGCTATAGGCTGTGGGACAAACTGGGTTGAATAAGGGCAATTGCTGCCCCTGCAAAGTTGATAGGAAAACAGAACGTTATACTGTATTATCTGGCTATGTTGAAGATGAGACTTGTAGTTTGAATATATTTTGACCCTATACCGGCCAGAACCGAAAGGGATTTGCCTTTGCCACCTGTATAGAGACAGGCCAGCCTACACGCTACTGTAGTCTGACCAAGCTCTATACAGGTGTTGGCAGACCAATTTCGAATTCTCAACTCGACAGCCCGAAATTTGTTAATGAAGGTAAAGGGTTAATGGGGACGCCTATTGAACGGCAAAATGCTGAAGGAATTCTATGCATGTTAGATAAAAACTTGGCGAAAATATACATGAAGAACAGATTTTTGTACAAAAATGAAATGATTTGTGACTTGTATATCTGGGGCAATAAAGGTTCCCGTAATTAATATGCGAATTAGGATGACTTTGTTGTTGAACTTTAAAAAAACAAATTGATTTATTGATTTTTATGAACGGTAATATTTAGTTGTCCCGGCCAAAATGACTTCAATCACCAAAGTTTGTTATATATGTATATGTTATATGCCTGATGCGGTGGGGAATATTATTTTGTCGTTTATGAAATGCCAAAGTGTGTAAGTTATGCAGTAAGTAATATTTCAATAGGAGGCTTAAAATACAGACAAATGTTCTCCTAAGTGCAGTAACGTGTTACGTCCTTCTAAATTTAATAAGGAGTTAACCAGTTAGTGCACTTAGGTGACAAAATGTTCAATTCCAGGTATTATTATTATTTTTGAAAGCATTGTTAGTTAATAGACTGCAGTTATTATAGGTAACTTGGAAGTGTGTTTATTGTTTTGTTATTTGTTTAATATTGTGTACTGAATTTTCTTTTTGAAATTTGATATGTATATATAAATATATACAGAGCTATATGAATTAAATATTATATATTAACTTTGTGCTGCAGTTTTTGTTATTGATTACCTCCCATGTGCAACAGTTTTGTTATTACCTCCTCTTAATAGGTGTAACAATACATAAGGTTTTAATCGACTGACTCCAGAATTAAGAATATTTGGGCTTTTCCCGGCTAATCCCTAGGTTAAAACAAACTTTTACTGTTATCTATTGTGACTGGTTGTACAGCGTGAAGCTATAATAGTTAAAGTTTGTTTGTACCTAAGTATAAGCTGGGGAAAACCCCACATTTGTTGAGTTCTGGATAAAGTCTATTCACACCAACAGTGAAAGGTTTTAGCTTTTAAAGTGGATCTAGACCTCAGATGCCTTTTTGAGAATTACTTCTGAATTGGTCGGGCACTAGTGAAGAACCACATACGTACTGTGTGCTAACTGGGTAACATATGATAATGAAGAAAAACAACTAAGACAGTGATGTCAAATGATACAGAACACAATACAAGACTCATGCTACACCATGTATCTGTCCGGAGAAAAATACAACTCTACAACTTCATTTTGATTTTCTGCATTGTAAAGCTGTAAATTGATACTTTAGTTTGGCAGTCACATTTCATCTTAGATTTGTTTTACTAATTTTAGCAAAATATAGAAATTTAAAAACGGGTAAACATTCTGTTCAACTACAAGTGAATATACAATGTATTTAACTTCATAGGAAATCGATGACCTGCACTAGTGGTTTAAATATTTCTGCCAATCATGGGTTTGAGCTCTATGATTGTCATGACCATGTTTCTTCTTAATGTCATCTTAGTACAGTAACAGGTTAACTCCTATTAAATTATATAGGGAGTTAACCCATTACTGCACTACAAAGACGATATGACAGTTTTGGTTACAGTTTCAGGAAGCACACTATATAAGTTGCAATAACTGAGCCGTGTCACGAAAAAACCAACATTATGGGTTTGGGTTTGCGACCAGCAGTCTGATGAGGATCCATGCTGTTCGCTAACCAACCATATTACAAGTAGAGAAACTAATAGCGAACAGCATGGATCCTGATCAGACTGCGCGGATGCGCAGGCTGGTCTGGATCCATGCTGGTCTCAAACCCACTATGTTGGTTTTGTCCTGACGCGGCTCAAATAGTTTTATTATTATGGTTGCACAACACAAATATCATGGAATCTACAAACAAGAAGTATCTATCGGTCATCCTGCATGAATTACTGACATGCAGGAATATTGCAAATCTATTCATGGATTCTAGCAATTTTCCTGCTGTATTTTTTAATTCTTTTGCCCCCAGCTTCTACTGTTTGGAATTTTCCATCATCAACTTTGGTGAAATCAAAATAAAATTTTGAAGTTGGTCAACCAAAACAGCATGATGGCGTAACTTATAATTTTCATTAGAGCTAAAATTATAGGACTTGGACTGTGACCTTCAATTTTTACCTGTATTATTAAAACTTTAATCATTGGTTTAAACATAGTATTAAAGCTTGATTGGGAAACAAGTTCTTTCAACTTAAATTCGTCATGTTTGAGTCCACTTCCTGGAACTATCCAGTACTGGTATCATATGAAGAAACGTGGTTCTGACCAGATTAGGACTCGAACCCATGATCCATGTGTTGAGAGGCAGACACCTTAACCACTAGGCCATCGCTCCCCTTTAATCTTTAAAGGAATGCAGGTGAAACCATTATCAAGCCTTAATTCGAGCCAATCTCATACCAACTTTGCTTCAAACAGGTGAGCATAACACTTATAAATAGGGCCATATTACATATTTTTTATCCAGTTTTGAAGACTTTTAGGGATCAAAAATGTTTACAAAGAGTACAGTGCTGACTTTGTACTTTTTAGTACTTACATAGGCACTTGGTTTCAGGATAAAAACCATTTTTGAGAGGTTTGTAGAACTCAAATCTAATTGAATATATTGATTTTTTAACATAGAATGTCTTGATTCTAAAACCATAATTTTACCAATGTTACTAAACAAGAGTGCTATGATGGTCCTGAAATCGCTCACCTGAATATAAAAACTCGATGACGAGGAAAAAGTAATATTGTAAACTATTAACAAAAGCAGATATAAAATCTAAATCTTAAACTGATTTCACAAAGTTCATATTAGTGTCTGAAATAGTGCATGTTTAGTCATTACTGGTTGCTATTGCTAAGGGAAAATATCCCAAAACCAAGTGCCTATACAAGTACTTATAGTGATTTAACTACTAACTGGAGCTAAAAGAATTATTCAACAACAAGTCACTGGGAAGATGTCATCTTTATTCAAATAATAAATACATAATGAAAACAAAACATTTTAATACTTGACAATCAAAACTTTAAAATTTCCCATATTTAGTTCTAGAACCAATTATTGCATTTTTCATAAAATTATCTTTCTTAAATTAATAGTCAATAAAATAAAGTCATAAGTAAAATATTTATAAAAGAACAAAGAAATTTACATTAATTATTGCAAACTGTACTTACAATGCAAGTAAATGACCAAAATGATGAAATTAACTGCTTAATCATGCAGTAAAAATATGGTGATAAATACTTCAAAATCAGTCATTAATTGCATATAACCTAAATTATTACTTGAATCTTTCTACTTTTCTTAAAATCTTAGACATGACATTTTCTCAATTTTGATTATTTCTTATCTAGAGACATGCGGCTTTAAATATTAATAGATATCTATTAAAATCACCACTTAATTTAAAAGAAATGAAATACTGGTACATGTTAGGAAAGGACATTTATAAGCATTGTATGCTGATGGATCTGGTCCATTTTCATCATTGTATCTGGTTAAACCGGTTAAACAAAATACCAGAAACCACCGGAAATACTGGAAACTACAGGAAACACTGGAAACTAAAGGAAACACCAGAAATCCCTATCATTTTATTTAGGAAATAAATTTGACATTGATAATTATCAAAATAATGCACAGACTTTGAATAATACAAATTTTGATTTTACTACAGAGATAATCAGAAAGCCTTTTCACTGCATAATTTCAATCCATAAAAGTTAAAAGTAGTGATTTTTGTGAAA